TTATTTTCATAAATAATAGCATTCTTTGGAAGGATTCAATTGTTTCTATAAATAGTGAAATTTTTTTTGCAGAAATTCAATTATTATCAATATAATTTTAATAAAATTGAAAAATCCAATTTTCAATTATAATTACAAAAGAGACAAGATTATTTTTGAAAAATTAAAAAAATTTAAAGATTTATTTATTTTCGAAATCAAATTTAAATTTGATGAAAAAAAAACCGGGAAAAATTTTGGACATAACCGGGAAAATCCGGGAAATAACCGGGAATTTTGTTGAACGAAAATACTAGACACCCTGTTATTATCTACTTATTAATTTATAATAAATTATGCTATATTCCTAAGCGAAATTTTATACATTTATTATTTAATTTACTATTTTATTTACTGCAAAATTACTGTAACATTACCTGTAATGTTACGGTAATATTACCATGTATTATTACTGTAATGCTATTAATAATATTACCAATACATTGCAATATTACTTATATTACATGTTATATTACAGTAATATTACGTTCTAATTGGGATATTGCAAAAAAAACTGCAAATTGGATTTAAAAAAATTTTTTTACAAAACTGATTTTGCTAAATAAAAATTTTTACATCAAATTTGCATAAAACTATAAAAATGTAGTACAACTTTTTAAAAATCTAGTATGCAAAATTAATTTTGCATAAACTATGTATAAAGTTTCGTTTTGTTTAAAAAATTGTTCTCTTTAAAAATATTATTTGATAAAATTTTGTCTCATTTATTGGGAGCCACTCAAGGATTTTATCTGTTAAGCGTAGAGACAGCCCTGAGTGCAATCCCACATCTGGCGATTTTCTTCTGGGTTTTTCTATTGTACACTTTTTTTCTACAACTTTTTGCTTTATGGCAGCCACACGTCGATTCTCATTAAAGTCCAAAATATATATATTCATTTTTTGAGAAAAATATTCAATTTATTTAGTTTTTAATTTATGTAGGGGAGAGGGCCCTAAGGTGGTCACCCATCTTTTGAACGACTGTAGATTTTAAATGGAATTATATATAAAGCTCAATAATACGGCGTTTGAAACTTTATCTTATTACCTAACTTCCTATCATAAAGTTTTTTTCATTTCATTAATAAAAAAAAAGTTATGGCACTTTTTAAAAAAAGTTGAAAATTCGACTTTTAAAAAAGTGGCCCCAAGGTGGTCACCATACAATAATTCACTAAAAAAGTTTTTAAAAAATGTAAAAAACGTATTACTAAGTTGTTTATTTAATATTAATTGTTTTTCAGGATCACAGAAACATATTACATATTTTTTTTTGCACTTTGTCCTTTCGTCAAAAATGATACTTTTTGTGTATGTATTAGGTAAAATTTTGAAAATAATTCTATTTCATTATTATTCATCATAAAACTTGAAAATTGATAATATTCACATTCACAGTGATAAATGTTGATAAATATGGCGTATAAACACATTTTCATAAAAAATCAAAAGTGACCACCTTGTGGCCAAAAAAGTGTCCACCTTAGAGCCAAGACACAATTTTTTAAACGTTAATGAAAAAATTTTTTAAAGCACAATATTAATTATATTCATTTGGAATATTATTGTACGATATATAAAGATAATTATAACGATTTTTACTAATTTAAAATGGTTAATTTCGATGATTTTAACACCCTGAGAAAAAAATTTCTCGATCATTTAAAAACAGAAATTTTACGACGTTCACGTTACAAAGAGACTCATACGACTATTTACCTCAAAACTTTACTAAAATCTTTGTCTTTTCAAATAATAACAATAACAAAAAACATTTGAAGATACTAACTAATATACAAAAATTTTCTTAGGGTGACCACCTTAGGGCCCTGACCACCTTGGGGCCCTCTCCCCTAATTTTATCCTACTATAAAATTGCACATTTTAAGCTAAAAAACGTCATTTTATCTCTATTTGTTTAAAAGATAGGATTAAGCTGAATAAATCTGTGTAAACAATAAATTAATTATTATTTTTCAATTTCAAAAACAAAAATTAATTGTACTCACCTTAAAGAATATCTGTGAATTTTTTCAAATTTTTCCTACTAGCAGTTTCGCTTGGGGAACAGGTGAAAGTGTAGACTTGAAAAAAAGGGCCGAAAAACTGTGTTTTTTGGCACATTTTGTGTCATAGCTACTGCAAAAAAATTTTTGTGGTCTCGAAATATACTTTGTTTCATTCTCTAGACTTTAAGCTTTCATAAATTTTTTACCAGAATGTTTAGAGATTTTTTTTCAATGAGATATAAACAAAAAAAGCCGGAGTCGCTTTCTTTTGTCCCCGACTTTAGTTATCAGCGTCAACTTAATTTTTCAAAATTTGATGTTGGTTTTAAACAAACTAAATATTTAACTTTAAAATTTAATTTCTAAAATTAAGTGCTTTAGCTAGGTTCATAATCACTTACAAATCTTGATTTTGTGATTGGAAACATCAAAGAATAGAAAGTTTTATAAATTCCAAAAATGATTCTTTTCCACGTTTAATACTTTATGTGCTTAATTTAACGAATAAAGTAGTAAAAAAATAACAATTTAGTTGAGTAACAAAATGTCGCTGACTCTATTAAAATCTTCTTAATAAAATATAATTATCTGTTTTTAATCATACGAATGTGTTAACTTTACGCAGGGCAGCATGAAACTGAAGTTACCAACGTTCATTGAACAAAAAACTTTTAAAAAAATTTTCTCAGGATACAAATTTTCCTTGTATATTTTTAACCCTCCAAACCCTAAAATAAAAAAAACGTGGGAAAAGCAGTGATTTTTATTCTTTTTTTTTTAATTTTTTTCAAAAATCACGAAATTTTAAATAAATTCATAGTTCCTCGACCCGGTAGTCATTTTTTTCTTTTGATAATTGTTTATTTTAATATTAGATGCTATTTAAAAAAAATTTTGTACGTTTCCAAATCGGGGAAAACAGTAATTTTTGTTTTTTTTGTCACGGATTTTTGGAAAATCTGAGCATTTCAAGTAATTTAATAATTCCTTGCCTCGGTAGTTACTTTTTCTTTTGATAATTGTTTATTTTATTATTACACGTTATTTAAAAGAAATTTTAAGTAATTCCAAGTCGGGGCAAGCAGTGATTTTGAATTTTTGTGTGCCACGAATTTTCCAAAAATTCCGAAATTTCATTTAAATTCATAATTCCTCGCCTCGGTAGTCATTTTTTTCTTTTGATAATTGTTTATTTTAACATTAGACGTTATTTTAAAAAAATTTCAAGTGATTCCAAGTCGGGGAAAACAGTGATATTTATTTTTTTGTCGAATTTTTTCCAAAAATCCTAGAATTTCATTAAAAAAATCAAAATCACTGCTTTCCCCGACTTGGAACTACTTGGAATTTTTTTTAAATGGCACACGACATTAGAATAAACAATTATCAAAAGAAAAAAATGACTACCGAGGCGAGGAATTATTAATTTACTTAAAATTTCGTGATTTTTGGAAAAAATTCGACAAAAAAAATAAAAATCACTACTTTCCCCGACTTGGAATCACTTGAAATTTTTTTAAAATAACGTCTAATGGCAAAATAAACAATTATCAAAAGAAAAAAATTACTACCGAAGCGAGGAATCATTGATTAATTTGCAATTTCGGGATTTTTGGAAAATTCGTGACACAAAAAAATTCAAAATCACTGCTTTCCCCGACTTGGAATCACTTGAAATTTTTTTAAATAACGTCTAATATTAAAATAAACAATTATCAAAAGAAAAAAGTAACTACCGAGGCGAGGAATTATTAAATTACTTGAAATGCTCGGATTTTTCAAAAATCCGTGACAAAAAAACCAAAATCACTGCTTTCCCCGACTTGGAACTACTTGGAATTTTTTTTATATGGCACTCGACATTAGAATAAACAATTATCAAAAGAAAAAAATGACTACCGAGGCAAGGAATTATAAATTTAATTGAAATTTCGTGATTTTTAGAAAAAATTTGCCAAAAAAAAAATAAAAATCACTTTTTTTCCCACGTTTTTTTTATTTTAGGGTTTGGAGAGTTTACTTGGGTTAAAAATATACCAGAAAAATTTATATCCTGAGAAAATTTTTTTTTAAGTTTTTCGTTGAATCAACGTTGGTAACTTCAGATTCATGGGCAGCATGAAAACTGTTTTCACGCGCCATTGTTTACGATATAATTTGCGAATCTGAATTATGATTTTTTTGAAATTATTTTTAAATTCATTTTATGAGAAGCAGTTACTGCAGGTTAATGGGCTTGATATCTTTGTATGTATAAATATTTGCTTTTGTTCAACTTGAATAAACTGATGATACAATATGTTTGGAAAAAAATGTGTATATGAATAAAATTGAGACTTAATTTAAAATTTTCAGATAAATAAATATTACATTATAATATGCGACCTCCCCCCTAGCGCCTACACAAAAAAAATCAAGAAAGCATTTTTTTCAAGTTAATTCGTCAAATCGTTGTATTATTTTTTTGGCTTTTGTTTCTAAATACGTTGCGAATTTCAGCCTCGTGTATTTTCATTTCCAAATATGTCGAACATAATTTGAATCGATGGTCACAGCATATTTTGGTGTATTTTCACTGTCATTTGCAGAAAATATAATGGACACAAGTGCTAAAATTTTTGAACAAAATGTAGATTTTATTCAAAAATTTTAGCACTCTTTTGAAGGAAGGACTTTTGAAAACTTTATTTTATTTCTTTTGTTTTTAAAAATGAAAAAATGTTTGGCATTTAACGTTTGCGCCAACTTTAGAAACCTGCAACTTGATATGGACCTTACGGTTTCTAAATTTTGCAGCAATATGTCTGACTTACGGATTCTGTAAATATTTGTGGGTCTGCACGCAGGAAATATGTGCCTGGATGAAAATTATGAATGTTTATATTTGCTATTAAAAGCAATAATTATTATTACATTATGGTATAATGCTATTATTCATTATGGTTACAGACTGATCTTTGCGGCATCAAATGGAGAAAGCTTGTCTATGGTGAAACCACTACAAGCTTTGGGGGTACTCCCCTTGAAGATCCAATATTGTCGAGCTTCTCCCGCTGTCTGGCGGGAGATATTCTTTGCGTATGGCGGAGAGTGGCTGCCTCACCGACAACTGGTCCAGGATCTGGAACAGGTGGCGGCATTTTTGACATGGGCATCACAACATCACCAGCGCCACCGCCACTTTCCTTAAATGCCGCCAAGGAACTGTGGATATTTTGGTACGGAGAAGAGCCTGAACTGAGTGGTTTAGTTTCTTCGGAACTCCTAAGTTGTGGTGAGTATTTTAAAGTTTACTTTTTTTGTTTACACTGAGATTGAGATATATTTTACACTAAGAATGATGGGCTCTTGTAAGCTAGCATCCATTGTTTTTAAAAGAATATTGGATTTTATTCAAAAGATTTTAAATATGGAAGAGAATAGATAACAAAAACAATGTTTTATAAGATTAAAAATTTTATCAGAAAATAAACTTTTGACAAATAAATACAATTGGTGTACTCAAGTTACAAAATTTTTTGAATTAATTGAAGAGTCAGTAAGTTGGATGGAATTATCGGTACCGCTTCTTATTGAAAATAAAAAACGATTGGTAAAGGCTTAAAACAATATCAAAGCAGAATGCTTATGGATGGTAAAACTATTGAATTTGACAATGCGATAAGATGTCATAAGTGTGGATAAACGATACACTGAGAGAAATGGATAGTTAGAATTTGAGATGGTTAAAAAAAGATTGTACGTGGTACCATCATTATGTTACTGGGTACAATCTACTATCCACTTTTTACAATCAAAGATGTTACCCGAGAACATATACATATGCTAACTTTCTGATTGTAGTCACTACTATCAAATATTGTCGAAGTTTAACGTCTATGACAACACGTTTCAATGCAATTGAAAAGATTCTTGAGTGTTTTACGTGTTTCCGAATTCATCTAAAATAGACAATTTTGTAAAAAATATTGCAGTGTTGTGAAATATGGAATCTTTGATTCCAACTTTTGTCAGTTGGTTAATTATTTTTGTTATTTTCTCTGAACTTTGTAGGTTAAATGAGACTTCCGATTATCGCCCAATGAACGGCACTGACTGCTTTAAAATACCTGAAATAGGTAAACAAACATTTTCCAGCAAAGTTTTCTCTGAACACAGACACTTTTTACAAAATCTGCTTACATACACTGAATAAGCGTCTTCTAATTTATAATAACCGAAAAGACTGTTTAAATTCATAAGTAACCGTTATTGAAAAATGAAAAATTGAGAAGTAATGTAATGCAAAGAATATGACAGCTCGGCCAATGTGCTCGCTCTGCATACTTCTGCCCTCTTCTGGTGATGGGCAATAATCTCTGATGGTATAACCCCAACCAACCATTTTTAACATCAAAGATTGATACCTGTACAATCAAATTTCAATAATCTTCTGATAGTAAATGCTACAATCTGGAAAGCTGTCTGTATACGTAGCATTAAAGATGGCCACCCTAACCATCAATATGTTACACACTATTATAAATTTCTCTCCGTGTAGCAGAAGAGTGTATTTGTTTATAAAAAAGCGATAGTGACTTTAAAGTCTTAAAACAATTAATAAAATAATAATCTAATAGTATGGGTACTGATTGGGCTATTATACCAGCAATAAAATATAAGTAAAAGTTAGATGACGAAAGACTTACTAAATTATGTTTGGTGGACGAAGGAAAAGCATAAGTTTAGAAGTTAAAAAACCCAGTAAAAAAAATTCGATACACGGACCGCGGAGTTCGTATACGAGCTCGGTAGCTCGTATGAGAAATATGAGAAATCTCTCATACGAGCCTTTTCCGTAATGAGAAGTGTATAGATGCTTGTATACGAGGTGACTTTTAAGGCATTTTTATTAATGTAACACTATTTTAAAGTAAATGTAGATAATAGAAATGAATTTTCTCTTTTAAAACAAAGCTAAATTCATAAGGGAAATGAAGTTTTAAGAAAAAAAGGATAATTTTGTTCAAAAAATTTATTCACACTGAAAAAAGGTTAGAATTTGATAATTCCTTGTTACTCTTACTTACCGACATTAGATATTTCTCGGATGCAGTAAGCACGATTTTGTATTAAATTTAATTATTTTATATAAGAACATTTATATAATAAATAAATAATAATATATTATTAATTAGTAATGAAGAAAAACTTATTTATTCTACCGCTAATACAAAATCGTGCTTACTGCATCCGAGAAATATCTAATGTCGGTAAGTAAGAGTAACAAGGAATTATCAAATTCTAACCTTTTTTCAGTGTGAATAAATTTTTTGAACAAAATTATCCTTTTTTTCTTAAAACTTCATTTCCTTTATAAATTTAGCTTTGTTTTACTTTAAAAATTTATTTCTATTATCTACATTTACTTTAAAATAGTGTTACATTAATAAAAATGCTTTAAAAGTCACCTCGTATACAAGCATCTATACACTTCTCATACGAGCTACCGAGCTCGTATACGAACTCCGCGGTCCGTGTATCGAATTTTTTTTACTGGGAATGTAGGACTAAAGGGAAAAGAATTTTTTGATATAGTTAATAATCCTAATCTAACAACCGAGATCGAGCTGGATTTTCCCCAAGAAGGGAAAGTAAGCACCTAGGTTATAAAACCCATTGTACCAGACTCCAGCTCGCTCGTTTATAGCAACCCCTTAGAGTCCTGTTCTTCTCCAGAAGTCCAGTATCTCTTCTATCGATAGGTTGCTCACCTGCTTAAGGTCAATAATTGCTTGACCCCAGCTAGATAGCCTGATCCTAGCTAACGCTGGGCATTCTGATAATATATGAGTCAAAGTTTCGTTACCCCTTTAACACCCGAGAAAAACAAAGAAAAGGTATAAACTAATGAGATGCCATTCCTAAAGTTTTCGGGGTCGCTGATTACGAATTTGATGTCAAATTGACATTTTGACAGTTGACAGCTGTCAAACGAACTGTCAACTTTTGCATTAGTGATTTATTTTTTATAAAAAAGACTCCGTAAAGGGTTTTCGGGGTCGCTGATTACGAATTTAATGTCACATTGACATTTTGACAGTTGACAGCTGTCAAAACAACTGTCAACTTTTGTGAAACTGATTTATTTTTTTATGAAGACTCCATAAAGGGTTTTAGGGGTCGCTGATTACGAATTTGATGTCAAATTGACAGTTAACAGCTGTCAAACTAACTGTTAACTTTTGTAAAACTGGTTTACTTTTTATAAAAAAGACTCCAAAATAGTTTTCGAGGTCGCTGATTACTAATTTGACGTCAAATTAACAATTTGACAGTTGAAAGCTGTCAAACCAACTGTCAATTTTTAAAATAACTAATTTTGTTTATGCAAAAGTGTCTATAAAATCAGCAAAAATTATACGAGTTATAATTATTATAAGAGTTGTGTTAAAATAGGGCTACAGGCGAAGATTTACCAAAAAAATCTAACGCATCTTTATAGGAACCTCGAAGGTGATGTGGAATACTGTTTACAAACGAAATTATTATTTTTTTTCTTTGTTATTATGCCAGTATTGTCTGCGTATTGTCAATGGGATATCAAACTCGTAATCAGCAATGTAAAAACCCTTTTACGGACATTTTTAAATAAACCAAATTACTTCTTATAAAATTGACAATTATATCAAATGTCAACTGTTAAATCATTAATTTGAGTTTAAATTCGAAATCTGCGACCCTAAAAACCTTTTTCCGTCACTTTTATTAAAGAGAAATTAGTCTTATAAAAGCTGACAGTTGGTTTAACAGCTGTCAACTGTCAAATTGTCAATCTGACATCAAATTCGTAATCAGCGACCCCGAAAACTTTTTTGGAATTTTTTATACAAAATAATTCTGTTTTACAACAGTTGACAATTGTTTTGACAGCTGTCAACTGTCAAAATGTCAGTCTGACATCAAATTCGTAATCAGCGACCCCGAAAACTCTTTTGAAGTCTTTTTTATACAAAATAAATCTGTTTTACAAAAGTTGACAATTGTTTTGCCAGCTGTCAACTGTCAAAATGTCAATTTGACATCAAATTCGTAATCAGCGACCCCGAAAACCTTAAGGAACTTTTTTTTTCTTTTTATTAATTTTTTAATGTTCGGATAATGTAAGACAATTTTGCTTCGAAGTGTGCGCCATCTTTAATACGCCATTTTTTAATTTTTGTGAATTTTTCAAAATGGCGACGATATTTGTATTCAGTGGTTCAAAACACTTCACAAAGTGAACTTAAAAATTTTTTTTTGACTTCAGCGTCTGTACATGAGCTAACTGACTTTTTTAAACAATTTTTCCGATTTGCATAAACATTTTATTATTTTTTTATATTAAAAAAATTTTTATTGTTTACTTTAATTTTTTTTTTATACCTGGACCGATTCTGAGGAAATCAAGTCCAACCCGTTTAAAAAATATTAATATTTAAAAAAGTTACAGTGGTTTTTGTAAGTGGGACATATATGTCCCGCAGGCGTTAAAGGGTTACTCTATCCCCACACAGTCTGCACATAGGTGAAACTTGTCTGCCTATTTTATGCTGATGGTAATTCAATAGTCCATGACCCGTAAGTAGACGAACTACGGTTCTAACTCTGATCTTATCGAGTTTTAGGAGATCGCTCGCTCGCCTCTTGTTGAGTGCTAGCCACAACAGAGTTTTCGCTTGCCTTCCCACCCCAACGTTCGCCTAATACTTCTCATGTTCCTTTTGACCCCATCTTTCTATGGCTCCTTTAACCAAGCACGGCATTATTACCACTGCTGGTTCAGGACCTATAAATTCCGTCTCGAAACCGATTTTCGCCAAGACGTCTAATCTTTCATTACCCTTGATTCCCGAGTGACCCGGTACCCAAATCAATGAAAGTTTATTTGCTGAACCCAACTCATCTAGTACGCTGCGGCATTCCCAGACGAGTTTTGATTCTATTGTAGGATTTTTCAGAGCCCCTAAGGCCGCCTGACTATCTACACAAATACTAATCCTCTTGCCCTTTGTTCCATTTCGAATGGATATTTGGGCGCAAGTTAAAATCGCACAGACCTCTGCCTGCCAGACCGTGGCATATTGTCCTAATGACTCAGCCACTTTAATGCAGCTAGTTTTTGATAAATTCCGAAGCCTGCACCGCAGTCCATCTTGGAGCCGTCTATATACCAGACTTCGTCCCCAAGTGGAAAACCTTTCTTCCAGTCTATTCTGGAAGGTGTAATGATCTTAAAGCGGGGTTTAAATTTCA